AGAAATAGATGATTCCAGACCGTGGCGTACCATAGAGAACGAGTCTCCAAATAATCTACGAGGGAGATAATTGAGGGACATTCTTTCATTTATAAACTTTATATGATATATTATTTTAGTACTTATAAATTTGTAAATATGTTACTTTCGAAGATTGGAAAATGGATGAAACATTAGCTGTTGGATTTTTGAAAATGGTGAAGATGGGGTCTGAATAATAATCCACCGAAATCAGTGCCACCTATATCATAGCCCAACTTACCGGCTACCGTGGTTTCAATATCGATCATATTTTGACGAATATTCTGCGATTTGGATTGATGTTTTGCTCAGCGGATTTGGCTTTCTCTGGCTATTTTGAATGAACCAAAGATCCGCCCACGGTTTGATATACATTTAATTGAACTGACGCTATCGTTTCTTCAAAAAACATAAGTGCTGTTTTTTTTCACAAACATCACAGAGTGTGTTTTTCACGCTTCGCACGTAGATAAAAATTTCCTCAAGCGTCATAGAAGTCAGATAAAACTATGTAATGGAACTCAAATTAGCGTTTATCCATTCTGTGTAGAAAAACAGTGCGTTCATTATTAGCCAAGCGTCAGTTCTCCGGAATCTGATTTCGGTATAATGCTATCCCTTGTTAAATTAATGGTCACTTTCAATTGTCCCCACTTATGCATGCTGCCGAACACTGAGGAATCGTATACCCAGTAAGATTACTCCATTCTTTTTGGTGAATTCCCCTCAGGTATTCCGCGCAGGTAATCGGAAAGAACAAACCAAAAGCTGAAACAAGCCTGTCCTTAAATATCCATCCATCGACAATAACAAAAAGCAAAAAACGCGATAAATACATCCGTTGGGAACGAGAGTCTGTTCAGCATCATTGGGTTAACAGCCCAGCCTGATTATTCGGCCTCGCACGCGATCCCGTCCGGTCAAATGGGACGGGAAAAGGTTAGCCTCAAACGCTTTTTCTAGCGACCCGGATTGACGTGTTTTCGGCGACAACTGGGGACAGACTAACCACTTAGCTCGAGTTAACTGCAATCTCTAGTTTCACAAAGAACAGTTCTCTCACTCTCCCCAAAGTATGCGCATTTAAGGTCATTCGTCAATTTCATTTTGTTTCAATTATCTGGTGTGGTTAAGCTTTTCACGGATAAAAGAAGAAGGCGCTTCTCTGATCGATTAATGATTGGAATGCTGTTTTAAACAGAAAAAAACATGCGTATAATTGGAAACACAAATAGTAAAGAGCGAATTGCGGAATATAACGAAAATGATTTTCTTTTTCACTGGCCATGGCATGTTTCTCTTTGATAGTTAGCCTTACTTTTCACTTTTACGACTTGTTACTTTTCGACACAAAATGACTGCAGCATCGTGTCATTTTGGGACAAGGATGACCCGATTTTCTACATCTCCGTCTATCGAGTAAATGATAGATCCAATCAGATGAACTAGTCTCTGGGGAGATTCTGCTCTTTTTGTTTGGTGACCTGCTTTCTTTGAGAACATTAATAAATAGTGACGTTATACAGCCTGTTCGGTCAGGTCATCAAATTCACTAAGTGGCACTTTGAAAAACATATTGCCCACTTGGCTCACTAGAGGTTGATCGAGTTTAGCAAAACAAACGTTCTGTTCCGGTGAATGATTGCGCTCCAACATGGCGGACACGTTTGTTTATTAGTGGCAATTTTGTGGAACTCATTTGAAACTAGTATAGTGGCTGAATTCAGTTGAAAGCGGCCCATGAATGTGCAGTGTGTATAAAAGTAAAAGTAACTGGAAAAAAGGAGACATTCCTGATTCCGCTGTGTTCCTAGCGCTTTTGCTTCCAGTAAAGAACTACCTTAGGTATAGAATCATTCGTGAATCACCGTTGCGAATGTTGTGACAATAATCTATTCATACATTTTGTATGGTACACAAAGTAGTACCATACTATATTCTTAAAAATGGAAGCTGCGGTCAATAAAACTACTAGGTTAAGTTTGAGCAAGAGGGTACATGAATTTTCAGCGGCTCCAGTGGAATTCAAACTCTCAACTTACGAGCAGTTGTAATGGTGACCTAAGCCACTAACAATGATATGCAGTGGCGAGTGTTGTGCACACATAAAGTATTTTATTCTACCTGAATATGTGGGGAAACAAGGGTAACCTTGAGTCACGTTAGCTACAAATGTCTATAACCAGACTTTCAGATATACCGATACGTCAGCTGAATGCGAGTAGGAGGATTTTATTTAATTCATCTCTATTCCTAATGAAAATATGATGTCTCAAAGTTCAGATGTAAATTGATATCTTACACCCATATAATGCACTGTCCTAATCATCTTAAGAAGTATTCAATGAACCTTCAATCGATCGTTGTGGACAACGGACGAGGGACATTCGGGTCTATGAAAATGCTTTCTTTTTTAAATTACATTTAGCTCACGTCGAACTAGGTGGGAATTTCAACCACTTTCATACCGACAAATCGGCAATGCGAGCAACATTGAAATTGCATTCAGTTGTCCAAATATACCGCTGTCATACGTTGTGCGAGAGAGATGGAGAGAGAGAAAAAAACAGCAGCTACCCAGATCGATATTTTTATCCGTCCAGTGGTTGATACACAAAAATAAATATTCTTTTTGTGGATTTGCACTGATGATGAGATCCAACCAGGTCAAAACAGCTGTCCAGTGCTTCCTAGCTTTTCAGTTCAGGGTTCATTTATTATGTACACGATGAATTCACCGTTGAATTTGAATCAGATGCTCTATTAGTCACTTGAAATAACTATAATCTCAGACAAGATGTTGCTCACTATTTAGTGATCAAAAATTCATCCGCCCGTTTCATGAGGGTAGATGGCACGATGATGGTTGTGTTGAATATTTAGATGATTAGGAGAGACCAACTGTTCTTGCTAGTTTTTTTCTGAAGAAAAGCGCTGAGGGGTGGAGTTTATGTTCCTAGAGTAAAGGTTGATCGCTGCAATAATACAAACAAATGAACTATGTTTCCGGTTACGCATCCAATCAACTGTAGCTGAAAAAGAATACAGAGTTTCATTGATCGGTATGATAATAAAACATTGTCAAATGTAAAAAGATCAGGGTTTTCGATATGGCTTCGTAGCTCGGCTGATATATCATATAAGGGGGTAGGCGGGTACCATGCACGCTTGGGTTCAAATCCTACCGAGGCAGCCGGACATGTCACAATTCAAGCATAATAACATATACATCAGCTGTTATATTATGTATCCCAAACTAATCTAGCGCATGCCGAGGTCCCAAAATAGGCATATCCGTTTCCCTTTGCTGAAAAATCGATTAACGTCATCCTGCTCAGGACGACTGGAATTTAATGAACATTTACCTGTTTTTTTCTTTGAAATTGCTCAGTGTTCACCGTATGTATTCATGCGTTGACGATGCAAAAGTATGTTGATCAATTGATGAATTCTAAAGCTGAATAGCAAAATTATACGCTTCATTCACCCCAGGTTTGAACCAACTCAAGCTAGAAATTCGACCATCCACTGCTAAGGATTTTGAACGAGTATGAAAAAACTGCATAGCATTTCCTCCAAGGTTCGCCAGTAACATGTATTATCAGAAACGATTGTTGAGTAGATTTCCTTGTGAACGGTTTGGACAAAAACTAGAGCGATTCCAGCACAAAATGACACATCATTTGTCTATGAAAATCGTCAAAACTTACTGGTTATCGTACAAATCAGAGGTTTGAACTAACCAACTGAAATGAAAGCAGTACTTTAGCTCTCACCGATGAAAAACGTTCAGAGAATGTAATGTATGTAATGAATGCCCCGTTTCACACTGGAAATAGTTCTTTCTGCCAGTCAGTGTGGAACGAACCAGAAGGAAACATTTTCTTTTCTTTTACACGAGGTCACTCAATCATTACCCACCACACTTCTTTCAACCTGTCTTTTCTCGGACTATTGTTGATAGTTCCAGAAGCTTAATTCTTAGACACGGTTAGTGGTAACCTCAGAAGCGGCCCTGCTCAGAGCCTTCGACTTTTTGTCAGACTGCAGCTGTAGAGTCTCAGTCTACTCAACAATACGGACAATCAATGCAAACGGGATTCAATCACCCGGACATTTGCCAAATTTTAGGCCCAAATTGAACGAAGTGATTTTGACATATGTACAACTGGGATCCATTGAGGAGTTCGTGATCACTGTGTACAGCACATCAGGAAAATGAGAAGTTACAGTTCCAGAGTCAGATTTTTAACATACCAAACCTTTGTCTAATTAGGTAAAAGCACCACACAATACTCGGGGAAACGATTTTGTTCTACCGTTTGCAAAAGATCAAGTGGAGTTTTCTTTCGGTTTTTAGCAAGTATGAAACTCGACAGACGAGTTTTCTCGGGGACTGTTTTCGTTCCTGGGGATTTGGAGATCGAGAACTAATGTACTACCCGATATTCCCGATCACACTTTCAGGGGAGAGGCACTGTAGTTGGTATTTCAGGAAAATAGCGAAACCAATCGTTAGCTTACTGAAATTAGCGAGTTATCTATATGTTCGAACAAAAAACTGAAAAAGAAGGCGGGACAACGAAAATTTACCATACAGTTCACCCACCGGTAATTAGCTACAACGCTCTTCACCTCATTTGCAGAAACCTAATGTACAAGTACTGATAGACATCTTAGGAAAACATTCTTTCAGACTGTGAGACCAGTGCTTCAGTGAAAATGTAACTTGCCATTTGGATGCCAGAAGCATTTCCAAAATCAGAAAGACCAAGACAGTAAAAGGGTAAAATGTTCTATAGACTACAACAAAAGTACAAAAAAAACGGAGCACATACAGCAAAACTTATTTATAATCTAATTACACAAAGGCCTCAGCCTCTCACGCATCATAATCACATTAGTTTCTCGTTTTGGAACAGTACGAGGAATTTCCACATTTGCCCCCCCCCAACCCCGGCCACATCTCGTCCCCGCTTTTACCTTTCTCGTCCGGGCATGATGATCAAACAGAGCACAGCATTTGTGACTGTGGCTAACAAATAAATAATAATTCCCATGTTATCTATCCCCGCGGCTACATCACGTCGTAGTTCAACCGCTTTCGGATGAAACAACCTGCGACCGAGATTGTACAGCTTTCGTAAAAATCGCCGGTCCGTATTGTCTGTCGGAGTTGCAAAATGGGCCTGTATCACTCTGTTGGGTTGTGGCTGTGTTTGGCCAGTCCACCGATTCCCAATGAATGAAGACCGAATGGGCAGACTGTACGGTCGAGACATGAATATAGGTGAATATTGTGCTATATTGGCCAGCCGAGTTCCTCGGATGGACTGCGCACAGGACACATCGTCCCCCGACGGATCGATACAATCGACGGGTAAAGGGAATGCATTCGATGAGGTATGTGGTTGTGCGTGAATATTACGTACTGTGTACAGCACATGACCAGACGAGGATGAGTTCCGTCCGATTTGTGGTATTGGTGAACCCGACTGGGACGAGCATGGTTGAGCATCTGGTGGGGTGGACAAGAGTGAGTCACTTGCCAAAGGTGATCGCAGAGCATGCGAATTGTCATAACCTCGTGGCTTGGTCGGTGCGGGCGGGGTCATGAATAGCATTTCCATTTGATCTCCGATTTCTCCTTGATATTGATGCAACTTGTTACTTAATACAGCAATCACAGTGGCGATACACAACAGTCCCAACTGGTCCAACAGAAAGATACCTGCGGTGAGGAAACCGTAAAAAACGGCATTTATTCACTTGTACGGTGCGTGAACCATTATAACTAGTTGGAACAATGATTATGATTGGAGAAACCATCGATTGAAATTTGTACAATTGAGAGCAGGAACTTAATGTGCTCATGTACTTCTGTGTCGGCATGATATTATCCGCAAGATAGGGTTCCAATTGTCAAGAACATCTCAACGAGGAAGCAGTAAATTGGCTGGCTCGTTTTGCTATTATTATTTTGTACTAATGAAATAGTTAGCTTTGATGTGAAGAAAATTCAAATTGTCTCAGTAATAAAAACACAAAGTGAATTAATTCAATTCTGTCTTTGCCGAATTCTACTCACGTCATCGCAGCTATATTTTGGTATTCTACCGTATTTTTCTATTCTGAAGAACTCGTATACTCTAATCGAAATAAACCTACTTTAGTTCTAATCTCAGTTGACCGAGTTATTCGTGCATTTCTTCTTCCGCAACAGAGTAATTTCACAAATCTAGGGCAGTGAACTAACTATAACTTTTTCAATTTAAGATGTCCGTGTATCAATTTAAGATGTCTTGTGGACACTGGAAGAGTGCGGTTTCCTCATCGTTTCACATTGTCTTGTTCTGTTTGTGATGCTCTTGTCGTCACGTTTGGTCCATCCGTGTGGTGAAGGCACGCCTGCTTTACAGTCGAAGTTCACTGGACCTGTCTAAGACTCGCGGCTGTAAACAAGGTGTGTTTTCTCGCTCGGGTTATCTGGGCAAGCACCAGGNGGCATAGGCAGCGGATAAGCATTGAATCCGATGCTGCTTAAGTGTTGGCAGAGAATCAGTTGTGGAACGATACGCCATGTGGGAAACTCGAAAGGCAAAAAGTTTAAGCGATGACGATACGGGCCAACGTGTGACTCGTCTAAGATACACGTACTATTTTTCTGAGCCCATTCGGTAAACGGATAATCATAATGAAACTTGTCTAAAGTACGGACTACAATATTCACTAATATAGAGGAACATGAAACTCTTCTTGGAATTTCACTAACTGGCTTTTTCGCGTTGAACGGTCTTGTGAACTACTGATGACATAGAATCCCGGAAAAATGTAAGAACAAATATTATGGAAAAATGCACATTTATTTCATAAAATTTGGTTAATATGCTTGCATAGCAAAATACGGCGAAGATAGTTTTCTTCCACCTTCAGAATAGTAGCAATTGTAATACTCGCGCACTGAACCACTTGTGCGAATGGTTGAGTTTCATTTCCAGTTTGTACAACGATCAACCATGCAATATCGTGCGCCGGTATTGTAGTCCGTACTTTAGACAAGTTTCATTAGTATGATTATCCGTTTACCGAATGGGCTCAGAAAAATAGTACGTGTATCTTAGACGACTTACACGTTGATCCAGTGCCATGATCGCTTGGGCATTTTCTATCCCGAATTTCCCACATGGCACAGTCTTAGACAGACCCAGACAGACCCAGTGAACTTCGACTGTAAAGCAGGCGTGCCTTCACCACACGGATGGACCAAGCGTGACGACAAGAGCATCACAAACAGAACAAGACAATGTGAAACGATGAGGAAACCGCACTCTTCCAGTGTCCACAAGACATCTTAAATTGATACTCGGACATCTTAAGTTTATACTGTGACATTTTAAATTGAAAAAGGTATAGAGCCCAGCCTCGTTAGAGCGCTCCACGTTCTCTATTGTTTGAACTATACGGATTCAGCCGTTGTTTCCGTTTAGATTCGCTAATCTTATCCGGTTCCGTGTTGTAAAATAAACAATCATTTGATGTTTGGTTGTAATCAGTCCACTTCCTCCCCCACCTCCGTCCCATTAGTCTCAAGAATCACACACGCACACATTGCCACCACACTGTAGTTACACATACGCGCGCGCACACACACTATTAGTTCGATCCAGATATGAGAAGCTGGATTCCCCCAATCGAATTTGACTAGCCCCATCTGAAACCTTGTTTTGTTCCTTCTGCCTTGGTTAACCCACTAATCGGACGTCGTTTTTCACTTCTCTTATTTCTTCAGAACCCGATCGTTTGTAATTATTGTGATCAAACAGCGCAGATTATTGAACCAGTCATTGAGGAGCAGGAGAGAGAACAAGCGGTCGGTGGGTAGCTGACTGACCAACCGGCTCGGTTTTGTCACGCGAAACTCACGGGTAATTACAAGCGGTTGATTTCGATCGACCCTACACTCGTATTACACCCATTTTGGGGTGAAATGAAAACAGTTTCAACCAGAGAAGTGCTATTTGCCAATCTGCATGTCTAAACAAATATGATCGTCTAACTGATTCGTTCCATAAAATAAATCCGGCTAATCGGTAGTGTGGCAAACACTGAAGCTTGAAATGCGTAAACCTAGTGGTAAAACATATTCTCTTCAAGAGAACATTGAGGCTGAAAAATCATACAATGCACGCAATGATGCCCTCAACCTAACTAATGAATCAACGGAGGGACTGATAGGTGTTTTAGTATGAGTTAAGGCTTTGCACGGGGGCGAGGGTGGGGAGAGAGAATCAGCGGCACGAAAGCAACAATGACATCGTTTTTCCTCAGTTAATCCCAGTGATGCAAGAACGATTCCGAGCGATTCACAACTGTATTCAAAAGGCACTGATTCCCACTGAATGAACGAATTTCTGGAGGAACCCTGGCTATATTCCGATGAAATCACGGAACATGCCTATTGTTGGCATAAGATTACACAGTGTAAGCAAACACAATTTCGGTGTATTTATTTTCAAGCTTGTACAACCCCATTTATACGAAACGAAACGAAATTCTCAAAGATAAGACTGAAAGAGACATAGGTCACCTGTGGGATAACGAATTGAAACCCAGTACGAATTCGTGCGGATTTCAGATTCCGGAATGGTATTTAACTATGTGACACCATCATTTTTTGTGCTAGCGATTTCACATTCCTTCAGTCAGAAGGAGTTTGAATGTTCTTAGTTCCTGATTCTACCGACTCTACGGTCACCGACGTTTGTAGCCCGATCGCTCGATGAGACTCGACAGATGATAGTGAAGAGCAAGTGTATGCCAACCACGTGTTTCGTCTCCACCAAGTGAGCAACAGTTGGGCTTGACAGTTCCACTCCCACCATGTGTGAGTCAGCGTGGACTGCGTGACACATTGTTGTTCGATCCACTTAAGTTGCATCATAAGTGCCCGTGAATCAGCATAGTATCACAGAGGAAGTCAACATAACCAGCTTACTTTAGACGCTAAATGTACGGATTAGCCCATTAGGTTTTTTCACAGGTACCAGGCCCTCTTGATGAGCTTGGTTGGCAGTTCTAGTCCTGACAAGGACACAAAAAGTACGCACTGCTGACGAGTCAAAAACAGGAAGAAACAGCTGTTCAGTGCTCTTTGTCGATTATCAGAAACACTTCCACAGTCAACTTACTTTTGTTATAATATCGGATGATTTCTGACCTAGGAAACACACATCTTATTGACATTTAAGGTGGAGTTTGCTGCAGCAAATAGGTTTCTGCTAACTCTGTCACCGGTGGCATCTCCTTTGAATGGATTTTTCATAAACAGAGCGTTCTTCTTCACCTGCGATAATTCTGTTAATTCTTCCCATCTGGTCTAATTAGGGTGACCAATCCTCTCAGGAATGACATCTTCTAGTTATATAATCGGCACTCGTTGCAGCTCATCTTTGTAAGTAACTAAAGCATGCTGCTTACTCCCTTTGTGAGAAAAATTATGTGATTTCCTTTTTGAAAGATTATGGCTAAGCTATATAAGCCTATGTATTATCCGTTTCATGTTTCTTCGGGGGAACGTTTTCTCTGTATTCAGCCGTCGCGGAGACTGGTCAGATAGCCCTACAGTAATGGGAGACAGTTATTGCCCTTTGGTTTCTTTCTGAACTTAGTTAACGTGTTTGCTACTATGAAATCCTCGTTGAACATGAAATAAAAACATGAACACCGCCGACTTCCTGAAGAAATACACGAAATTCGCATCCACTTTGACTCAAGGAAGAAAAATAGACAACATGGAAATAAGCATTCCTAAAAGAATCACAGTGTAATATAAATTATTCGTGTAAGCATAAAATGATCAACCTTACTTAGCTTGCAAATAAACAAACTTAACTGGCTCAATTCGATCGTGCGTAAGACCACCAACGAAATGTTTCAGTTCCCTAGACTATAATATTAGCATTCACCGCTGAACGCTGTTTTCTAAGTATTGGAGGTGTTGTTTATCGTGCTTTCTCTACATTCTTCTTCCTTAAAAATACTTCACACCTGACACTGAAAATTATTTGAGTGCCTTAGTGGTGTCCGTGTGGTGTTTATTGAATGCATTATGGTAAACTTCAAAGGCCAAGAAATCAGTGAAAATTGTTTGGGTCGAAATCCCCGTTATAACACACAGAGACAACAAACTCGTCTGAGACGAGTTGAATCGCCTCCCGATGGGTTGCATGGCCGATGACCGAAAATGACGCGAATGGCTGCATGAATCGTTTTGTATTGTTAGAGTCCCACCCTGAAACTTGGCGATTAGTGTACTATGGTCGTATGAGATGATGTTCTTCTGAACCACCCCGCAAGAACCACCGGGCTAGTCCGAATAGGACAGGTAGAAAGTCCATTATTAATTCGATCTTATCAGAGCTCGCGTAGCTAAAACACCAAAAAAGTCGCTCTGTTTGATTGTTTAGTTGGAGGCCTTTGATTTAACTCATTACGTGCCACATTTGTGCCCCCACAGACTGCGGCGATGCTATGATTAGCAGAAACGAATACAACCCAGTAGATAGGGGAGCGGTAATCTAGGTGATTAGTCGTAAATACGTGATCAACGGCACAGCGAATGAGCCGCCGGGGATGATCAGTGATGCTACTCAAGGAGTTGGTGGATTTTGGCCTGAACAGCCTACCCTTTAAACTAGCCCATATAATTCCGAGGATGGGATCGTATTGTGTGTGAGTTGGACCTTCATTCAAGGTCAGATTGAGACCAGATTGCACGCAGCGAACGATCAGATGGGTGCATCCAATGGATCCTAGTAGGTTTCGGTCTCGGTAGGTGATATGAAAGTGGTGCACTTTTGGTCCCCTCCAAGAATTTCAATCGACTATTATACCTTTTCAACTTCAAGTGAATTCGTCGTAACTTCAAGTGAACCCCTTGTAACTTCAAGTGAATCCAACCAATCGCACTCTATTGGAAACCCCACAAGACTATTGGTGTTTCGGCCAGGTAAATGTTTGCGGTAACGCGTTAAAAGACCCAATACGTGGTCAACAGAATAAATATCCGTGCGTTCTCCAGGTGTCATCAGTTGCAGATCCTAGGGCTTACCGCGGTGCACAAACGGAAAAGGCAAACGGTTCTGGGTACTTTTGGATTTGTGAATAATGGCTCACTTAAAATACCTTCAGCATAAACGAACTGGACAAAGAAAGTTCGTTATACCTCCGGATTTAGAATAAACAAGACTGACCTTGTCAAAAGCTACTGCTTTCAGTTTGTCACTTATGCTGAGAAGGCAGTAAAAGTGCGATTGACAAGCTTGTAAACATCAGTGAGAGCCGAATCTATGAAACAGTGCAGACAAACAGCAAGACAGTAAAAATAGGATATTTGGGGATTCTTTACAACTGTCCTCTAAGGTAGAGAGACTTATTTATAATAATATATAATATAATGCTATTACCAATGATATAACAACTCGGATCTGGTATCCAATTCAACGGTCAAGCTAAATAAGAAAAAAACTTAAAGGGGTGAAGAGCATGCAAAACCTTCGTACCACTATGTAAGGTACTATAAGGTGATAGTGAGGTAGCTCTTTACGAAAGAACACCAGTATTGGGAGCTCTCCTCCGTCGAATTCGTTCTTACGTACAAAAGTGCAACCTAACCATTAGTCACTTGTGATATGCGAACGCTGCAACATTGCAATACATTTTTCAGTCACAAAGGCATAGTGCCAGTGCACTATATTGAGGTCTTATAGGAGTTGCCCCTCGATATGCATGAATTTTAGCACCAAATGAAACATCTATACAGGAGTGATCAGACATATCCAAGAAGCGAAGAATCCCATATATGAAACATGGGCTGACCACGTAAAGAGGCCTAACAGGACCGATTGGAATCTGCAAATGAGTAATACCTCACAAAGGCAATTGTGAAAACAGGTTTTCAACGCTGATTAGACATTTGATCGAATCATCTCCTTTCCGCTCCTGCACATCGTCTGAATCATGTGACATGTGATGACCGAGGTGTAAGTAACATCCGTTCAGCCAATAACCATTCTGAATTCTCCGGGTTATAATCCTTTCCCAACAGAGGAAACATTATGATAAAGACACTGCTAGTGAATGAATCGCCGAGAATGAACTTACTCCCAACTATGTACTTTCCATACATTCTGAGTGAGCGATATGTGAGCCAAAACATTGCGAACAGAGTTGGTCTAAGATTCTCATTCCGATCGAGTTCCACACGTCCAACTACCGCCCCACAACACATACCCGATGATCCTGTGCTAAGAGCTGAACGCGCATTATCACCCTCCCCCACCCCCGAGTAACGACGATGGTTTGTGTGGATGCTATAGTGGCTGCAATATTCCGCACAGATTAGTATTTCGTAGAGGTTTACCGGGTTTTGCAACCGGGTTGATGATGAAGCCTCATCCATCCAACAATTCAAATATACGAGCAATTAAATAAACAAACAAGGATCTAGAGAGATTTTGTAAAGAATACAATATTGCTGACGGTATAAAGTTTACCAAATGAATCAGACCTCTGCAGGTTGAACTGTCGCAGTGCAATCTCGGAGGCGTAGTTCTCCAGTGTTTTCATCACCACTGATACCCAGTGTTCAACAAGACTTGCATTCAATGTCCATTATTACTGCTTCTGATCCATGAAGGATGAAGTTGACTGAATAAATGCAAGGTTAGCTTTTTTTCTTAATAAATAAATAGACAAATTAATAGGTAACAAATAGACACCCACTCAGGCATCGGTTGACAACCAAATTGGCGGGTTAGAATGGAGAATGGTGAGGGCGCATTTCATCCTGGTCCGTAATCACATTTTGTTATTTTCACCATAATTTCTAGCTTTCTCATCACAACTGTGACACAACTTGAAAAGGGTCATCCTTTAGACCGGTTATCACAGGAGACATTTGTTGTTCAAACGATGGAACACAAATACATACTTTATCATGTGAAGCACTGTTGAAAGACAGCTTAGATAACTCAAGTGGCTAGTGCAACCTACTGCCAACGTTTGGCGCCCAAGTTCGAATCGCAGAGTAGTTCCACGTGCATGCGTACCCCTGATGGTTCTGAACGTGAATCAAAATGCCGCGGAATGTTTTCAAGGCCTTTGGGTGTTGGATGACCTATCTTTTTGGCCCCATGAGCCCAATCTCACAAATCCATTCATATTAGAAATAAGTGTAATGAGACTTTCATTCCAAAAGCTGTTATAAAAACAATAAGACTAACACGAACTTACCCAGCAACGGAACAGTTCGCATGGATCGAGGTGCATTGGATGATACGATTACCACATACATTGTCATGCTCAAGATAAGCGACAGGGCTACTGATAGTCTGTCCCCGGTGTCATCCAGCGTGAATATCAAACATGCCAAAATGGATAGCATCAGGAACGGGACTAGGACTAATATGATAAAATAGAGCGGTTGTCTTCGCAACTGGATCGATATATTGATGTATTGATAATTGACACCAAACTGGCTCCGATAATGTTCTAACTCGAATTTGATTGACTGAATTTCCCACTCGCTGACGTTGGAGTTTGGTAAAAAATAATTATCCACAGCCGGACCATGTTGCATTGGAAGCAATTTAAGCTGACGCATAGAGCTTTGCCATGGAGTGATGATCAGGTGACACACTTGTGTGTCAAACGGGAAATCGGCAAAGTCCAGTGGACAGGCCACGTCAAGCACGGCACCATAGAGCCACGTGATACGACCTTCGTAATCAATATTGATTCGGGAATGTTGATCAGCACTGAAGTCGAAATAATGACTGTGTTTCCCATTCATCAGGCCCACATCCGGTCTCCATAGCTCGTCTGAGACAAAGTCGATTTGGGTGACTCCATCGAATTCAGTAGAGTTCCAACGCAAGCGGTAATCGTACCATTGCTGGGAGAAGGCAAGATGTTGCATATGTTTCATTACTGCCTTCGGATTACTCAAAACTTGATTACTTTTATTTCAACTACATCATTGTGCCGTGATTCTGGACAATAGAGTAACATCAAAAGAGACCAAGACATGTTATTGAAAATTTTTCTATTTATCCACTGAACTATTTCATAAAACACCTTTCATTTTTGCCACATTGATTAACGAGCTCATTCGACCGTGATCGATTTAATTATTTTACTTTACTTTTTCAGTTCCTCAAACTGTTCGAACGAAAGAATGTAATTTAAACAGTGATGGTTTCTTTAAGCACGTGAACTAATTAACGATAACTTGTTCAATCCATTGGTTAGACCTACTCCCTTGTCACAGCTGCTCAGGCCGATCCCAATTCGAGTCACCGGGACCATGAGTTCTCATGATGGAAAAACCATCCATCACATCCGGCTCGGTTGCACACTGGGGTGACAAAGTCAATTACGAGCGAAATCTGTTCACACCTTGTTGAGTCAGGTCATTTAGTTGACTTGACCAGAGCGTTTCGTCCCCTACACCAGGTTTGTGAAAAAAAAATCTGAGTGGATTAAACATCACATCCTGGCCACAGCGAAAACAGTGATAATTCACAATCCACCCTTGTGTGCGCAAAAACAATTTGTGAAGACATTGTATCTCCCATAACACTTCGCCCACCCCATTTTCACCCGCCCCTACCAATCTTCGGCAAGTGCGGACTAAACAACACACCGGAAACGATAGATGTTATCTATATTCATCCAAGTTTATTAACTTATAATTGTCATTTTTTGTAAGTAATATTTCCGCCCTCCCGTATTTTAGCCGAGTTATGTAATTTGTGCTGTATTAGCCAAGGAAGACGAATCACTGACAACAAGTCTTGTTCTCTACATTGTTTTCTATTCAAAACATTCATTACATCTTGTGATCGAATCAATCATCGTTTTCAAGTGAATACCAATCTATCCCAGCGAGATTACGAAACCCGCGAGTCATCCTGTACGACATGGGATCGTCATTGTGGGACAATGTTCAAACGGTGCGTGCACACCGAGTAGGTAGTGATTAGTGTGCGAGCGTTGGGCCACAAGTTATGATCCTATGTTGAGACTGTAAAAAAGTTCATTAGCCTCGGTGGTATTCGAACCCACGCATGGATGCCGCCTACGCTTTTGTAGAGCGCACGCTCTACCAGCTGATTTACAAGACCCCGTAGCGCGGGGGATGTTGGTCCGGTGGTAACGTCACCAACTTATCGCCCCGGGGATATGTTCAAATCCCACTATCTCCGCCTGACTTCTCCCATTGTGCGTTGATTGTCCGCTTTCACCTTCCTGGAAATTGTATATTTATATATTGAATAAAAGATAGAAAAACAATGAAAAAAATATGCTAACGTATTTGTGGCGGCTTGAATGACGTCAGTTGTACGCACGCCATTCCCTCTACAGCCCACATCAACGACCAAATCCAATTGGGAACAGACCTGTGAACTGTAAACTCGTTCTGTCCGGTACATTGTACGAAAAACCACATTCCAGACATTCTCATTCGAGCTTAGTTCATAAATATTTACCATGAATCGGTAGCCATAGTGAACTAAAGCCATGAACTACAAAATGCATCAGGATTTATAAACAAAACGATAAAGTGGTGAGTCTGCTCGTTCATATCGATCCTTGCAGCGCTTCTACAAGCACAACCAATAGATACCGTATGTGTTTTGTTCTTCGAAAGTTCACTTGTTTTGCCATATCTCATTTACGGCTGGAGTCCCGACGTGGACAAAAGGATACTACCCCCGACTTACGGTAATGAGTTTCCACACTAGTTATCCGGGGCTCTTGGTCGATCGTCACACAAATGTTTCCATCTCACTCTAATGGAACGAAATCTACAAATGAGGCATAATAATATCACATGCAGTGTTTTGTGCCTGTGAAAATCGAATGGGATAACCCAAATACAATAACACTAATTAGTAGTACAGTTCCCCTAAGGTGTTAACTTTTGATTGTGTATAGTTCAGGACGTAGAGTTTAGCCTCCCAACAGGAAGATACGTTAATCGCGTCCCACCCGGAGACACAATAGGTTTGTATAACTAACTATAGTCTTGGTAAAGACAGAATGGTTTTTCAATGCTCTTTTGTGATCATTCCACGAAAACACTCTATTCCATTTATTTCTGCATAGTGAACTCAACATAGGACAGTACAGCAAAGCAAATAGGTATGATCAGACTTTCAAAACTAAAACATAACTAGGTTTGTTAAATATGCATATGACCACGGGTCTCAAAACAGTTCTGTCTTTCATCAGAAGTCGGGTAGGATAGTCTCTCTCGAGCAGCAGTATGTACGTACTCCAGCAAAAGTGAAAGCGATCGACTAATGCGCTTTTAGTGACAAAGCTCCTCTCCCCCACTTGGTGACACGCTAGTTTGCTGACATCCGATTAAACACCAGGCCTATTGTTCTGGGGCCTTAGCGACATAATTCTCTCAAGACTCAGGAATTTGGTTCCAGTGATCATTCGTGTGCCATGTATTCTCCTGTTGATTATTTAGGTTGCTCATCACCCAAGTATGTGTGCAATAAACAATGCCCCTTCAACTGACTGTTACTGAGTAAATAAACGAGCTATCTCTGTAAACGCAATTTGAACAAACATGCATTGGTAATCCGGTTGAGCCCCCCGTATGAGCTGGTTCGCACAGTAGTAACACACACGTCTTCCACGTGGTGGTTCCGGGGTTCAAAACCCGGACGGGCTGGTGAGCTCTACTATGTCTGGGGCTGGATAAACTGAGGATTGTACATAGAAGTGAAATCAGGTCAAATCAACAACACTTTTCATACACCACTAGTCACAAGCAACTGTGAGTTAAGTACGAATTAAATGACCGAATATTCTTTGATCCACAAAATGCGTCAGATTAGGATTATCACCCCATCTGCTGAGTTGACCTTCCGAAAAGTAGTCTATTGACAAAACCAGTACGTTTGCATATCAATCGCCCCGCTCCTGCGCCCCATTTATTAGAGCACTTCAACAGCCCCGGTTCGATCTACTATTTGCCAGCTCAATCAGCCCTCATTAGCAACATCTCATTAATCGAGAGTGGGAACAAATGTGATGTGGGTCAACTGGTTCTCGGGGACATCACATCCGTGATCAAATCTAGTTCACAAAATCGTTTTAAGGGGTTGTTGGAAAAGAAAGGCACTTGAACCTTTTTTGTGCCGTTAACGCTGTTTACTGGTTCACGGGTGTTTGAACTGACGAGGCGGAGGAAATGATGAGAGGATCAATAGCCGCTTCAGTTGAGTCAGGTGGAAAACAATGTGGACTCATTGATTCACGAAGGAAATCCATAACCACAGTATTTCATATTTGGACGTTTTTAGCAAAGAAAGTAAAATTAAACCACTTGAAAAAGTAATTGGTTGGAATTATTCTCTTCTTGCGCGATCCATTTTAAATATATCAGTGTTGTTTCCTCTTGTCCACAACCTCACAGAATAAGATACTGTTAGAAAGAAGTAAATGTTATGTCGGTTCCCATGCAATCTACAATGACCGTGAATGTAGCAAAACGGGAGATTTAAGTCTAAAACTGTTCAAGTTCAACCTATGGCGTTCTCATCAGTCAAATGAAAACTGTAGTCTCAACGCCGTGATATATATTTAGTAAACAGAAACTGTAGGGAGTTAAAAGTGCGAAGAAACAATGTATATTGTCATAAAATCTCAAATATGATTCGAATCGTTCCGAGATTCATTATAGCGTAGTCTGCTTGGGGCTAATGAGAAGATAGATAGCTGATAGTATGCATTCAGAAGTGCCGCATTGTAACTCGAGAGGAAATGAGTAAATGAAACGTCATTTACGAATAGATTCAGTAACGAACATTGTCGTCGATAGATGAAAATGT